AAAAAAAAAAAAAAAAAAAAAAAAGGACACTTTCATATTATTCCCCCCCTTCTTTTTTTAACCTAGTACACACTAGGAACCGAACGAAGGCATTCCCAATGGAGTACATCTCTAGTCCTTTTTTGCAATTTTTATTTTGATAGAGGGCTTTGTTAAGTCACTAAGCTGTGCAGGCTGGGGTAATACTTACAGTCCTTCTGCCTCAGCCTTCCAGAGACTGGGACTACAGGTCACCATGCTGGCTCCACTTCGCCTTTTAAGTCATTCAAGTACTTTGTAAAGACTTGAATCTACCTCTTTTCCTCAGATCCTTCCAACTCTACGACTTCTTTGAAGTTTAAGCCATGCAGATATACTATTTTAATATTCTTCATTATGGGCATCTATCAAATTCACTAATCTGATTCCTGTAGCATACCGCTTGATTTTTTTTTGTCTTCCCTAAGTCTTATCCTTAGTGGCTTTAATGTCTGAATGGACCACTTGACTGAGAAGATTGAGACTTGACTTCCTGCTCTATTCAATTATCAAGGCTTTCTTACTGACACAAAAATACCTTTACTTTCAAAACTAACTATGGTGACATCTCACTCTACTGCTACAGTTTCCTAAATTTGCAGTTCTTTCACCCACTTACTCCAACACATCTGTCCCTTCTCAATGGTATCTTCTGTGCCTTCACCATGCTAACTCTTTTCATCTATGATATATCCTGGAGACTAAAGCAATGCATTCATATACTTTTCTGCACTTTTTCATCTAGCCAGTTTATGCCCTAAGGTCATTCACTTTAGCACTCTCTTGGCAACAGTCTTTGCTGATTCCCTTGCAACATACTCTTTACCACTTGTACCCGTCTGCCAGCCTCTCACCCTCAGATCAATTTGTTTATTTATTTATTTGCAGAACCAGGGATTGAACTCAGGCCCTTGCCAGGGAAGTGCTTAATCCACTGAGCCATCTCCCTGGCCCCCCTCAGATCAATTTAAATGATATTCTTTCCTAAAGTGGTACTGGGAATACTGTATTGGCAGAGAAAAGTCACTAACTTGCTTATGAGTTTAGTGCATATAATATA